TTAGAATTATTGACACAAACACTTTGGGGAGGCACGAAACATGCCTTTCAGGAATTACCTTTTCAGCACAGAAACATAGATCATATGGGCAACAAAAAGGCACATCCCTGACCAAAGGCAAGAACAAAGCCGGAACACAACTGGATGTTGGTGTCTTTGATTTACAGAGCAGACCACGAACAATGAGATCAAAGATGAAGCGGTCACAAAGGCTGATTCTCTTGAAAAGGTAAGGAATTATTTTTCCCAACAGTGTAGATGACAAGTGAGATGATCTGAGAAAACTGTGACCCAGATTGAGAAAGAGAAAGAGAGAGAGAGAGAGAGGAGAGAGAGAGAGAGAGAGAGAGAGAGAGAGAGACTTAAAAGGAAAATACTGATACTAGAGGAGAAGGGTTATTCAGACATCCTCAGACCAGCTGCAACTGGAGAGAAAGGAGTTAATTCTGCTAGCTAGCCCGCTTAAGCAAAGCTTCCCAGCTCCTTGCTCCTCTCCAGACAGTGTGGCTTGGCAACCTCACAAACACCTGCTGACCATACAGCCATGTCGCACTAACGTTGTCTTGAAGTGAGTTCAGAAAACCTGCCTGTAATTGCTAACAGGACTCAGAAGAGTATAACCTAACAATAAAAATATTTAGATTATGTTGCCCATAAAAAAAAAAAAGCCAAAGGCATACTCTTTCTGGCAGCAACTCTTCTAAAATGTTGCCATATGGATTTATACATATGCAGATTTCCCCAATTAGATGGAGCGCATGCTGGTTAGTTGACAGAGTCCAAGAGGGCTCCATTTGGACTTAAAACAAATTATAGCTGAAATTGTGTTCCTATAATTTTTTAGAAACCCAAGAAGATGATGGTGGAAGCAGATTTAGAGGACATAAAGAAAACGCAGCAGCGCAGTCTAATGGATTGGAGTTTTACTGAACATTTTAAACCGAAAGAACTGCTTCAGGTATTTATGGGCTGTGATTCTCCAGGAGATGGTCAGATAGGTCTGGAGATCTGCGCTGTGATTTAGAGCAGTTCACTTCTGGGTCACTCAGATCTAGTTCAGATCAATATTCTCACTTACTTGAGCTATAAAATGAATTTATTCTCAGATTGGGCTGAGCATTCCCAGGAAATCTTTTAAAATACACTTTCTGAAGGGATTTTTTTTTATAACATCTTTTAAGACTGCTGCAATTGTTTTCTAGAAAAAAGAGTAACATTTTCCTGGGAGACAGCTCCATTTTCTCCATGTTATTGTCCATTCCATTTACCTTTCATTACATTTCACAGTATTATCTGCTTTGATTAATAAGTCAGTAGAACGTATGATAGCTAGCATTTACTGAGCCCTTATCATGTGCTAGGTAATGATTAGTATGCATTATTTGGCTCATTCATTCTTCACAATAACCTTATGATGCAGAAACTATTTAAATACTAGAAACTGAGGCACTTTGACCAGTAGCGACTTTTACCCAAGGTTACATGACTGATAAGTGAGAAGTAGGATGTAAACCCAGGAAATCTGGCTCCAGAACTTGTGCTTTTAACCACTGTGCCAAATAAGAATAATCCTAAAATCGACTCTTTTTACTGATTTATATTTTAGATAAAAACTTGTACTTTTGGTTTTGTCTGTTTAATTGGTATTTTATTTTTTATCAAAGCTTTACATTCACATATCATCAAACTCAGAAGGTTCTACAGACTCTTGTTGTGGAAAAGAACAGCTTCTTACCCTCGCCACCATACTTCAATTCCCAGAGACAAAAATCTTCAGTGCATTTACCCATTTCTTTTGATACTTTGTCAGCTCTAAGAAACAGTCAGTTTTACTAGTTTTAGTTTTATTTGGGGCCATCATTATTAATTGACTCCTATTTGAGATAAAACTCTGTCTACCCCATTCAACACACACACACACACACACACTTACAGACACACACACACTGCATTCATCCTACATTCATTCAAGCACTTCTTCATTTTCTGATACTGTTATCCATATCATAACTTTTGGTTAAATTGATACTTGATATTTCTCCTATTTCAGTTATGTGAATACTATTCACAACTGAACTGTGCATTATTCTATGTGAGCATTTCTCTTTTATTTTCCTGAGGTTGACAATTATTTTTCCCCAATTATTTAATTTACTATGCATTTATCATTAATTCAACCTTAAATTCTCTACTGTGGAGTAAATCTCTTAATATATTCAAGCATAATAGACATTCTATCAATTTTATTGTCTTAGTGATATCTCACCCATACACTCTAAGCTTGCTAGAGAGTAATGGCCCTGTGATTCCCCCCTGGACACACCTTTGCCTCTTCTTCCAGTTAGATACTACACGTCCTTCATCTCACAGTCTACTCTCTTTTTTGGTGGAGGATCACCTCTTTCACTAGCTTCCTTAATTAAGATACATAACAGGCAAGTTTTTTGAGGCATTGGATATTTGAAAACATCTTAATTCTATCCTTACAGTGACTGACAGTTTGACTTTATATAAAATGCAGAGTTGAAAAGAATTTCCCCTCAATGCCCTCCCAGGAATGGGAGAAAAAAAAAAAACAGAAGTAGAAGACTTTTTAAAAAAATTTTAAAGGCATTCCTCAATAGTCTTGTGGCTTCCCAGATTGGTCTAAAGAGAAACAGAATGAAGTTCTCCATATTCCCAGTCAGTTGTTTGGATGAATTTTTTTCTTCTCTCTGGAGGGTTAGAAGATCTTCTCTTTGTTCCAGTGTTCTGAATTTCCTGCTGATTTGTGGTGGTGAGGGTCTATGTATTGTTCTGGTGAACCCAGTGCAACCCAGAAAATCCTGTGTTTACATCCTGGGAAGTCAACGTAGAGACATTCTTTGACAATCCTCCACTTCCATTTTCTCTCATCTCTCTTCCTAGAACTCCCATTATTCTGGTATTGGACTTCTTGGATGGAGCTTCCAATTCCTTTATCTTTTCTTTCCCAGTTTCTAACATTTCTATTTTGTCTTTTGGTTCTGGAGATATTACTCAGCTTCCATTCAATCCTTACTATGAGCCTTCTGTTTCTGAAATCATGATTTTAAGTGCCTAAAGGTCTCTACATAATTCAAAGTATAAATAGGATAAATTTCACATTCCCGATTCAATATCTTCTCTTTTCTCTATATAGTACTTCCATGAAGTCGCTCTCTCCCTGATTTACCTCTTTTTTTCCCCTCCAAGTTTCTTTTCTTCTTCCTTCCTTCCTCTTCTTATTGTTGGTAGAGGAGGTTTTCATTTTCTTTGTCTCCATTT